GAGCGTTTCTTTGCGCGCGCCGCCTGCAGAAAAATAAGCGATGAATGAAAGAACGCTCGGCTATACCAAATCGAAGTTTTCCATTAGGGAAATCTCTTCGACATGAAAAGATATAATAATAGTTATGCAGCCTTTCAATGCGAGCGTGCGAACGAAGCACAGCTTAGGTATTCGGCAGTCGGAAAATACATTTTCACGGTTAGAAATGGTTATGCAAGTCGGGCATAATTCATACGTATAAAATCGCACGGACGAATTGCCAATGCAAATGTAAATTTGTTCGCAGCTGATTTGCTATCTCAAAACGCGTTAAAAACCAACTTGGTTTTGGATTGTTCTGGTAGAAATCAAAGTGGTTAATATCTTAATTCAAATTTTAGATACACTCTTATTTAATTCTCAATATACAAATTTAATAATATTTGATAAATGTATTAAATCTTAATACACGACTGTGTCATAACATACAATTTGTATGTAGTGAAAAGAATTTTATTTTTAGTATAGATGCATTATCATAATCTTAACGGAACAATTTTCCCACGTGGCAAAATAACTCGCTCAAAAACAAGTGTTTGAATGTTCAGCTTACACATTTACGAAAGCAAAATTGTTTTAAAAGAAAAACTATTGACGTAGGTACTAGAAATTCTTTTCCATAGCAGATTATTATATTTTAAAAACCAATACGTATTTATAAGAAACTTTCAAAGTTTCCTTCTTGATGTTATTTGAAAATAAACGAATAAAGTGTAAAAAGTTTATATTTAAAGAAATGTTATAGCCGGTTTAAAACTATTTAAGGGGTAACTGCACAGTTTGTTATTCTAAGATTAAGTTGGTAAATTTAAATTCACAAATACACAAAATATATAAAATAAATCAAAAAAATATTTAAAAAATAATTCTAATCATAAAACGTTTTTCGTAAAATTAGAAATTTACAATACCGTTTTAGATGTGATCGATTTTAGGAAAAATTATACTGAAGATCACAAAAATTACAGTAATAAGGAGTTAATATCTACACGTAATTTACCTCATTGATTCGTCATTGAGCTCATCGTACGCGTGTCTACTATTTTAAAATTGATCGTATAGTGAGATATTTTTGTAGCAGTAGGTAGACAATGGCAAGTGTAGACGATACAAATCAGACACCTTCCTTAAAAGGAAGTTTATTTCTTCTTCGGATCATGGGAAGCTACACAAATCAAAAGACTATTCTGAGTTATGTAACAATCACATCAATGTTTTTGTGATAGCTTTCATGCTATCCGACTTCGTGTTAAATGTTAACAGTATTGAATCACTGCGTCGGATAATATTTTTGCCGAGTTTTTTTGTGGTAAGTATTAAAACAATTAAAACTAAAATGTATATGAATAATATATGTTCATGTGTTTAAGTCTGCTATTAAAGGATTTTTTATGATTATAAATTCCAACCAACTTATTGACATAGTGCAAGATCTGCGACTGTTTTGGAGACCAAATAAATTTGACAGTAAAACCGAAAACGAAATACAATTGTTTATTCGAAGAATAACATTAATCTGTGGTTCATATTCAGGAAGTGCAGTTGCAGTATGCTCATTGATGAGTATAATGCCATTTTTAAATTTTGAAGAAAGGTCTCTTCTATACAGTGATTTTACGTTTTGCAATGTGCAAAATCTGTTATGTTGGATCCCAATGTACATATGGCAGTTCTGCGCAATGATGTTTCAATTACTACCTGTCGCTCTGGGATTTGACTGTCTGTTTGTTAGTTTAGTGGGATACATAATAGTGGCATGCAAATTACTTAAAATTGCTTTGCAACACTTAAACACTGACAATTTGCAAAAACGGCATTACCTTTTGAAAGAAATTGTTAAGCAACATGATTTCATGATGAAATTTGTAAATGCTTTGAATGATATGTACACTGTTATAATGCTCTTGCAGTTTTGGTGTTCACTATGGTCTATGATATTATTTTTGAATATGATGGTTGCTGATGGGTATATTTAATAACTAACATAAATTTTGTAATTTAATTAGTTGTATGATTATCTTTTTAGATTGCCTCCTAAAGTTGCAGATGTTTCGTATTTTGGAACACTTTATCTTGTTATATTTTCTCAACTTTTCTTGTATTCTACTGGAGGAGCACTTATTGAAGATAGGGTAAATTAAAACTAAACATTTTGATGTAAATTTTGCTCATTTAAAATTTAAGGTACAAAGAGTTTCGACTGATATGTTTTTTGTCAATTGGTATGGAAAAAATTGCACAGAGTTGCGAAAAGATTTAACATTGATGATCTTTCGAGCACAAAGAACAAAAATACTAAATGCTGGTAAAATGTCTGACTTAAATTATACATTGCTAATTGCAGTAAGTAATAAAATATTTTTATGGAAATTTATTTATTTAATTTAATGTTTCATGTTTCAGACCTTAAAAAACTCAATGTCTGTATTTACATTAATTTGGCAATTAGCCAATCAATAGATGGTGATATAAAATAAAAAATAAATCATGATATCGTTAACAAATAGAAATTAGCCAACACTTGGTAATGAACAAAAATCGTATTTGCAGTTGTTTACAGTAATGTCGCTAATATTACCATGGTATATTGAATTATGTAAAAAAGTATTCAGAAGCAAGTATTGCATAGTTATGTATATATTAATAAGTTATAAATAAAAAAGTATAATAAATAATGTTTCTAATAAAACTATATATAACGTTTTTATGTTTGCAGAGTCATGTTTTTCCTGAGATATTCTACTCCAGATTCTAGAACACAAATAATGCATTATTTTAAATATACTTTGATTTTAAATCAATGTGGTTTACAAGTTTGAAGAATTGAATTAGTAGATTGATTGCTAGGTTAGACATGGAGTTGCTCAATTGCATTTAATATGTAAATATCGACTGAAGTGCAGAGAAACAGCAGCGCAAATTTAAAAAAAAACATATTTTGCGGCTGATAAGGAATTAATTTAGTATTTTCTTAAATATTTCAGTTTAACAAAAAACAACTTACTATTGCGTCATATTTCTCACTTTTCCTAGAAATTAACGGAAAAGTTATAACGAAATACGTATACAATGCATTCCGTTTTTCCCGAACGTAAAATTACGGTAATCAGAAACTGTCTCAACGTCATTGGACCGATCACTACGTGTTTGATGTTATTTTAAGATTCACAGAATAATCCACTACGGATGTTGCCGAACAATGTCCTGTTTTATACTTAGTAGACAATGGCAACTGAAAACGATTCAAATCAGACTCCTTCCTTAAAAGGAAGTTTACTTCTTTTTCGGTCTATTGGGAGTTATACCAAGCAAAAGACTATCCTGAGTTATGTAACAATCACATCCATGTTTTTTGTGATAGCTTTCATGCTCTCCGACTTCGTGTTAAATGTTAACAGTATTGAATCTCTGCGTAGAATAACTTTCCTTCCAAGTTTTTTTGTAGTAAGTATTAAAATCTAATCAAATTTATATATAGGTAATCAATACTTAATTTATATATTTTAGTCAGCAATAAAAGGATTTTTTATGATTATAAATTCAAACCAATTGATCGATATCGTCCAGGATCTACAAAAGTTTTGGAGACCAAATAAATTTGATAAAGAAACAGAAAAGAAAATACAATTATTCATTAGGAAAATCTCACTTATATGTGGTACATATTCATTTTGTGGATTTGCTGTTTGTTTACTAATGTCCATTATGCCGTTCCTGGATTTTGAATCCAGATCTTTAGTATTCAATGACTTTACATTTTGCAATCTACAAAATCTGTCGTGTTGGATTCCAATGTACATTTGGCAGTTTACTGCTATGATGTTTCAATTGTTACCTGTAGTAGTCGGATTTGATTGTTTGTTTGTTACTCTAGTGGGTTACATAATGGTAGCATGCAAATTAATTAAAGTGGCGTTATATAAATTGAATACTGACAACTTGCAAAAACGACGCTATATTTTAAAAGAAATCGTTACGCAGCATGATTTTATGATGACATTTTTAAATGCTCTAAATGATATGTATACAATTGTTATGCTGTTGCAATTTTGGTGTTCATTGTGGTCAATGATATTAATGCTAAATATGATGGTGGCCAATGGGTAAATATATACATTATCTTAAATTGAGTACATAACTAATACTTTGTTCAGACTTCCACCGAAAGCTGCAGATGTTTCGTACTTTGGGACACTTTACGCTATTATCTTTTTCAAATATTTTTATACTCTACTGGAGGAGCGATTGTTGAAGATAGGGTAAATTTAGTTTTTTTTCTCTATTTTTTATTCATTTTTTACATTTAAGGTGCAAAAGGTTGCCACCGACATGTATTCTGTTAATTGGTATGGACGAAACCGCACAGATATGCGTAAAGATTTAGCATTGATGATTTTTCGAGCACAAAGAACAAAAATACTAAATGCTGGTAAAATGTCCGATTTAAATTACACACTACTAATTGCGGTAAGTAATATTTACATAGGCACATCATTTATTTTTATGTTCATGTCAATTTTTATTATTTTAGACTTTAAAAAATTCTATATCTGTGGTTACATTAATTTGGCAACTGGCTAATCAGTAAACGATCTAGATTGTTTAATGTAACAAAACAATGTAATAAATCAAGCATCTCTTCACAGTATACGTTTTAACCGTGAAAATAAACTCATTAGAATAATCAAATAAGAAGAATGAAAGTATGTCTTCAGAAAGAAGCCATTGACTAATTGTGTAAATTTAAGTACTTAATAAAATTATATAAAATAAGTACTCACTGTTGATATCAATCAACACCAAAAAAGACAAATTGATCGGCATAGAAAATAAACTTCATTTTTTTTACTGTCAAATTTTTTTTTCTCTAGTTTAATTTTAATTTTAAACTATCATAAATCAATAAATTTCGTCGATAAATTTCCTGAGTTTCGGGAAGCCAATTATTGCTCCAATTGGTAGGTTGGTAGGTCATTGTAATTTCTATAAATGTATATAATTAGCCCTACCTGCTTCCCCTATGCTCATCATAAAATATAGCAGTATACTTACAACTTACAACGGCAAAAAACTTAATGTTTAAGCTTATGATGATTCGTCAAACACCGAACTAAGAAGTAGTTGGTTATGGCTGGTGAAGCCGACACAAACCAAATAAAAGCCTTGAAATGGGCATTGTTCAACATTCGAGTTATTGGCGGATATCGCCAGAAAAATTCAATATTATCTTATATAACCATCACATCTTTGTTTCTGGTGATATCCTTTATGGTTGCAGATTTGATACTTAATGTTAATGGAATAGAATCATTAAGAAGAGTAACTTTTTTACCTAGTTTGTTTGTAGTATGTATAAAACTCACATTAAATATATTATGTTCAAATTATAAATTATTTCTGTTGTAGACATCTGTAAAAGGATTTTTTATGTTAATAAATTCCAAACAACTCATCAAAATAGTTGAAAGTTTGCAACAATTTTGGAAACCAGATATATTTGACAATGAAACACAAGAAATGATTCGAAAATTGCTCCGTAAAGTGACTCTATTATGTGCGTCGTATTCTTTATCAGGACTAGGTGTATGCATTTTGATAGCCACTATGCCGTTACTAAGCATACAAGAAAGATCACTTATTTATAATGATTTTACATTCTGCAATCTACAAAGTTTATTCTGTTGGATTCCAATGTACATTTGGCAGTTTTACGCCTTAATGCTTGAAATGATACCTGCTTGTCTTGGATTTGATTGTTTATTTGTTAGTTTTATCGGTTATATTATGACTGCGTGTTCGTTAATCAAAATAGCTTTACAAAAACTAAACACAGATAATCTGAAAAAACGCCATTACATTTTAAAAGAAATTGTTAAACAGCATGATTTTATGATGACATTTTTAAATTCAGTTAACGATATGTTTACGATTGTAATGCTATTGCAATTTTGGGGTTCTTTATGGTCTATGATATTGATGCTGAATATGATGGTTGCTAATGGGTAAATATACACAAAATTATGGTAAAATATCTTAATTAATACTTTTTTTAAGATTACCACCAAGAGCTGCAGATGTAGCTTATTTTGGAACCCTTTACGCAATCATTTTCTTTCAAATATTTATATATTCCACAGGAGGAGCAATAATTGAAGACAGGGTATAATGTAAATATAAACATAAACAATCTGCGGTTATAAATATTTCCATTTAAGGTACGAAGTGTTTCAACAGATATGTTTATGGTCAACTGGTATGGGCCGAATCGCACAGAATTACGCAAAAATTTATCACTAATGATTTTTCGAGCACAACGAACAAAGATACTAAATGCAGGAAAAATGTCTGATTTGAATTATCCTTTGTTTATTGCAGTTAATATTATTATATTATTATATTATATATGGATAATTATCTAATGTCAATGATTTCAGACTGTAAAGAATTCTCTGTCAGTATTTACATTAATTTTCCAATTGGCTAATCAGGACACTAAATAAGTTGAACGAAATACATTGCTCATTTACCGGACATTCAATATACAACAAGAAATGTGTCCTGTTATATTTAGGGCTGTAAGTATTAAAAATGAAAGATTCAGGATTAATGAATCTAAACCAACATAGCAATGTATAGCATGTGTTAAACTATGATATAATCAATAATATTTTATATAAATATAAATACAATGAAACAAAAGAAGCATTTTTATTTCTGTTGTTTATTTGGGTATGCTTATAAAAAATACTACTTATTAATAAGTTATAAACAACAAACACAACAAATCTTGTCACCTAGCAAAACACTTTTTATTCATTTATGCATGGGGCGTCTTTGATCATTGCTTTTGACTGCACCTCTTTCGACTTAACTAAAAAACAATTACAGGAAGAGTTGATACCTTTACCCTAACCTAACCAGCCTTCGAGATCCCATACGGACCCGGACAGTCAATAAACAGAAACCTAATTTGCATATACTGCAAGTATAACTATAGACTTTAACGTGCGGCAATTATTATCAAAATATTAACGAAAAAAATTATTTTAAAACAATACAATTATATTACTAATAAATCCTAATAACAAGTTTGTAACCATCTGTTAGATATAATTTTTTATCTCTTTAGTACGCTTCCGGCTACGAGTAATTCATTTAATGAGCATGTAAAACCCAATAAAGTGCTGAATAATAAATAAATCCACCATATTCGTTCCGAAAAGTTTTTAAAGATACGAGTATAGTCTGTAAAGATGTTTGCCATAATAATTCAGAATTAATTCGACGAACATTAAGCACGCCGGGCAATATAACATTTTAGTTTGACAGTCATGATTCAAAGCTATGGCTACGAAATTAATCCCAATTTTAAAATGGGTACTTCGTCTCATCAGAGTACTGGGAGCCTACCAAGAAAAGAAAAACGTTATTAGCTACTTCACTATGATATCTATCATTTTGGTTTCTTTATTAATGATGTATGACCTGACGGTAAATTGGACAGGTATTGAATCGCTTCGAAAAATTACATTCCTGCCAGGTTTCTTCGTTGTAAGTATATTTTGGTCAATAAATACAACCGAAAATGTAATAAAATAATATTTTGCAGACAGGTGTTAAAGCAATTGTTTTGATTCATAATTCTCCGCAATTGATTAAAATTGTAAACAGTTTGAAACATTTTTGGCCACCTGATAATTTTGATATTGAAGTAGCCAAGAAATATCACTGGGTATTTAAAATGATAACATTTCTCTGTATAAATTACGCTTCGTTTGGTTATGTGATTTGTGCTGGAATGTTTGCTAGTACTATCATGGATTATCATAACCGAACACTTATATACAGCGACTTCGTCTTCTGTAACTTGCAAAGTTTATCTTGTTATATTCCGATGTTGATTTGGCAGTGTATTGCAATGTATCTACAAATTGTACCAGCAGCGCTTGGATTTGATGCCATATTCATTATTTTTATTGGATACATACTCTGCGCTTGCGATTTAATTAAAGCGGGAATGGAAAGTTTGAATACTAATGATGTTCTCCGTAGAAAATACATATTGAAGAAAATTGCACAGCAACACGATTTTATACTTGATTTTATCAACAATCTTAATGATATGTTTAGTGCAGTAATGCTTCTTCAATTTTGGTGTTCATTGTGGTCTATGATTCTTTTTCTGAATATGCTAGCAGCTAGCGGGTATGTGTTAATATTATTTATTATGTGAATTAAATTATTTTCATAGTCGTATACTAGGTGGCCGCCAAACATGGGAGATGTTGCATTACTTGGATCACTTTATGTTATTATTGTTTTTCAAATATTTCTGTATGCATATAGTGGCGCACTTTTAGAAGAAAGAGTAAGCTGTAACACTTGTAATTACTTTGATTATGCATTTATACATATAATTTTTTGTAGGTGAAAAGTTTATCAACAGATATGTATATGGTAAACTGGTATGACAAAGACCGAACAAAGTTGCGGCAAGACTTAGCTTTTATGATTTTAAGAGCTAACAAAACCAAAATATTACATGCTGGAAAAATGTCAAACTTAAATTTAGATCTATTTATAGTGGTAAGTTTTTAGTATAGTTATAGTTTACCAAAACTTCTTTAACTGACTTTTAATTTTTAGACTGTGAAAAATTCCCTCTCAGTATTTACCTTGATTTGGCAATTATCCGAACAGTGAACAATTTGATAATCTATAATATTAAAATTAATTGCATAATCTGTTGGTAAGCGCATAACTCAACAACGCCCAGACCAATTTGGCCAAATCTTTTTTTTTTAATGTTCATTAAAGTCCAATGATCGTTTATATGGCAAGAAAAATTCAAATAATTGCCGGAAAAACCTTAAAGACCACCATTTTCTAGAGGATAAAAGTTGGCATTGAGATTCAATCATAGTTATAGTTAAATAGTTGAATCCGGGATGGCGCGCTGCAGTGTATTATTAGCAATTCTTTATGTAATTAATTTCTTTAAAATAAAATTGCAAATCTTATTGATAGAATTGACACATACTATGTCTAGAACAAGAGAATAAAAACGAATTACATTATTATTAAACACTACCTAGACGAAGTCGCGGGCAAAAGCTATTTAGAATATAATTATTATAATAATTTTCAAATTTTCCACATATATTAGTTGTATAAAATGAATTAAACTTGCTATTTGATGTGTTTCTCTCATTTGAACAAATACGAGTATTTCAGGCATTTCTATTTCTAACACACAGCCTCCAAGTGACTAGGAATTGTTGACTGGTTGTCAGCAACTGCGATTTGATGCAGGATACCTTGTCTACCCTAGTACCTGCTACTTATTTGTTCGTTAGTTTGTTGTTCATGCACGAGCAAACAGTCAAACACTGAAATTGTGAAAGCTAAACTGAAATAAATACACAACTCGGGTTCTGCGGTGTGTACATTTGCTATCCTGCTAGTGAAGTGAAACGCGTTTCAGAAACGCGCGTTAAATTAAATGCATCCTTTGTGCATGATCACTAGCTGCAGACACAGCGCAATGATTAGAAGGCAATTAAAACCTATCTTTAAACATAGAACATTTCAGAATGAATTTAGCGCAGATTTTTTGAATTATTTGATTGAATTTAGCCGGTGCCGGGAAAGTTTTTCTGCATTTTCCATATAAACTTGCTCATTAATATTTCAACGTAATCGTCTAGCCAGTACGCGGGTTGGTATGAAAATTTCATTCACAATTAAGCACGCTAATTGTATAACTGTCCCCAGCTATTGTCTCTCAGCCATGTCCGCCCTTCGAATCGATGCTATCGTTCTACGCGTCAGGTGAGCCGCCATTAGGTTTATTACATTTTTATAACGCCACCGTCTGGGAATGATTATCAGGGGTTTTACAGTAAATCAAAATAATAAAAAAAATATGCCAATAAACTTGAACTTATTGAGATGAGGTTTTGAAGCACACTCGCGCAAATCAAAAAAACTATTTTCTTTGATATTCCAGTTAATATTAAAATCAGATTTATGAATTTTATTCGAAATCTATTGAATAAAAAACCGAAACTCAAAATTTTAAACTAATGCGTTCAATTTTCCCGTCTCTGATGTTATAAACTAATGTCATAACAACTGAGTAAATAAATGTCCACATTTCTCAATTAAAATTTACTACGTGTTCCATCGAAACGTTTCAATCCAAAATTTGTCGTTTTGCATTTCGTACCATTTACGATTTGCCATTTAGGATTGACACTTTTCCCATTATCTGGGGTGCGTAGATCGCACGGTGTCGTTAATGAACGGTAATGAACGTTTTTCAATTAGTCCTGGGGCCGCATTCGGCTCGCAGTATTTTTCCTGCGCTATAGCCGTGATTCAATATATCGAGCAACGTACGACCTTTATGACGATGCAATGCGGGTGGCAAGCGAAAGCTCTTCTTTTGCGTACGCGAGTGGCGAATTGTTGCGACGGCTATAACAGTTAACGGTAACGGTTACGCATTCATCGCCATCCGTCCATCAAAACGACACCGGATTGGCGGTGCCGGTTGTTTTGCCCCGAGGGATGATGAATCATGTATCGGACGGCAAACGTGCGTTGATTTCCTAAAAATAGGGGTGCGTGTTCAAATTTAATTCAGATTTGTTTAATAACAACACCGGCTTGCTACATTTTCGTTTTTTTGTACCTTGGTAATTCTTTTTTTGAGTTAGAAGTAATTAAAAATAAATGCACGAAGCAGAAATCACAAACGCACCGTTTCTACGTGATTATTGCAGTTTTAATGTTTATGCGAGAAATTTATTCAACAATTTAATTGTTATTTCTTTTGCGTAGGTATTTCATGAACGTAAAAGAGGTTAATATGGAAAACAGATGGCAGCGATATTTTTTTCTTAAAGAGTAAAATTGATTTTTTTTTGCAATGTCGTTTTTTGTCAACTGGGGTTGAGTCAAACGACGCAATTTAAGTAAGAATTAAGTTTATAGCTTTCACGTCTGTTGGCGACAGTTAATGTTGTCAAATTTAATGTTCTACTGCGATTCTCTAAGTGCAAGTCAAAAAATCTATTAGACACATTAAAAGTCAAATGGCAAATAAACTGATACTATTCAAATCAAAAAGAAACAAGAGAACGATTAGTCTTCTTTGTAAATTCAACGATGTAATCGCTTAGAATATTTAATATTAATTAATGACAAAGAAATTATAATGCTCAACAAAGTATAATCCAAATTCCTCTGTGGCAACTCGGGTCACGTCGATGTTCAACGTTGTTTAGGTTTACGTACCTCTTGGACACACAGCGGCTGCTACCTTCGCTATCGCAGGAAGAAAATATGTGAATTATTCAATAATGGCAGCTCCGTTATAATTTCTCGTTGGTCCGCAAATTGCGGGCGGCAATACTAGCTCTAAGCCAGGCATGCTTTCGGGCATTAGAAAATGATGTATAATTTATTATTAACGCTAATCGGAAATTAATGCGGCGAGTGCGGAATATGCGGCAAATACTTCCGTACCAAGCCAAATGTTTGGAAAAACATAAATTACCTAATACCTAATACCTAATACCGCCTTTGTCCTGATCATTATTGAAATTCTGTACATTGAGATGTTCCGACCGATATGTCGTTATTTAATGCATAAGTACATAAATTATTTTATTTTTAGAGTATTTAATCAATGTTTGTTTTGTATACAAATCTATAATATGTTATAAAAATGAATAGCAAAATCTGTTGGTAAGCGCATAACTCAACAACGCCTAGACTAATTTGGCCAATTCTTTTTTTTAATTTTCGTTAAAGTCCAAGGATGGTTTTCACGGCGAGAAAAATTCGAATAATTGCAGGGAAATCCATAAAGACAGTCCTTTTCTATAGGATAAAATTTGGCATTGAGATTCAATCATAGTTATAGTTAAATAGTTAAATCCGAGATGGCGCGCTGAAGTGCAAATCTTAATGTAATTAAATAATAAAATTGCAAATCTTATTGATAGAATTGACACATACTATGTCTAGAACAAGAGAGTAAAAACGAGTTACACTTTTATTAAACACTACCGGGAAAAAATCGTTGGCAATTTATAAATTACAAATTATAGAAAAATACGTAAACAACTCAAGTTACATCACTCCATTTAAAAATTAAATACATTAAACTTTTTAGCAGCGCCAGCCAGTCTGCAATATAAATATTCTATATATTCATATTCATAACATCAGTTTGCTCAGCACGTAACGCGTGAATATGTTTACGGCAGTCGTTTCTTTCTTCGTCCTTCGTCGTCGGCATATCCTTTCTTTAGACCCAGGCAACCGGCTTTTTGTGTGGGCGTTTAGTCGTTGTCCCTGTCACGTTAAGGTTTGTTACCACCTCTCGCAGAGCACGGAGCGACAAAGAAGCGCCACCAGTAAAAGGACAATCTCATCATTATGCCATGACACGCGAGCTTGCGGTTTTCACAAGTATAAATTCTATTAATGCTTGGTAATATGCTTATGCACAAAAGGCCACCACTAACAAAATAGTTACTTATCTTACCGGTATAGTAGGTATCTACATAGTTACCCAGACACAAAAAAAAAAACAAATAAAGTTCTTTTTGCGATTTTAATTTTATGCTAATTCCTACAATATGAACCGCTGCGAAGTGTAGTTTGACACAAGTGAAACACTAAACACTTTATCATTACCCGTTGGCAATACGAAGTTAATTTTTAATCTTCAAACACTGCGAGAGCGAAGTCCTCAAACGCGTGCGCGCACGCTTCTCGCGTTTGGAGTGGCGGCCAAATGCCACGGCACGAAGGAAATTGCCGTTATGAGAATACTAATTTTAATTACGAACAGCGCCAAACACCGCCAACTTCCAACGCGCACTTATTTGCAGCAAGGCGTGCGCCAGCAGATATCCGTAATTCGTGCATGTGCACCACTGTATTTATGCGTGTGTGTGTTGGTGGCAATAACCAACCAGTTAATAGTTGTGTACGAAATGACGTTTTCGTGCCGACGCGGAAGTGAATTTTTGATTACGCGAACGCGTTTTTCACGACATGAGCGCGCGCGCGCCGGACGCGGAAGATGAAAAACCGTATTAGCCATTTCCATCGGCGAGCAAATAGGTCATCGTAAATTTCAAATTGCTATCTTGCACTATTTCGCAAACTATATTACCGGGGATATATATCAATTGAGCCACGTCGTAAAAAGGCATACTTGGTATCTATAAAATATGAGTGGAGTTTATTTTAAATATTCCTCACCATATATTTTAATACTAGTAAATCCAAATATTGATATATTACACGACACTGCTTGCCAGAGTCAGGAAAACAGAAGGGCTAGGAAAGGGCAAAGTAGCAGAATTCTATTATAACTCGCAATATTATTATTATTAGTCATTTGTTAGGCTAAACGCCGGTTGGTATTCCCGAAACCCCGGCGGTTCGTGTCTAGCCGATCGTGCTTCAACCACGCGCGCACACATTTACCATTCACTTAGCTATGTTAGCAACCCGGAGACCACACCATGCAACCGCCCAGGTTTGTGCAGGAACAAGCAAACCGGCAAACCTTCGACGCCCCGGCGGTGGGCTAACACGCATATTGAACACATTCTGGCGCGCGCGGGCCCGCTATTTAATGGCCCGAGAAAATCGCAACATAGACACAAAAGAACATGTTATACTCGTACCACCCTCCCGTTCCACGTGGCATCAGCGAAACGAATTCCTCCAAACCGTATACCGTCGAGAAATTATGTGAGTTATGTACGTGCGTGCTGCTGTTGGTAGCGGAAACTTTTTCAAGTGCCATTTGTAATTAAAATTTAGATTTAGGGTCGAAACATCAGAGTTTTATTTATTATTTTTTTACAATTTTCCTACTTGAAAGTTTTGAGTTTAATTTCAAAATTTCCTGCATAAAATATATAAGTGTGTGCGTGGTAACAGACAAAATATAATTTTGTTGTTTGGTGTCTAGTGACAGAGATGTAGAAAGTTGGGGAAATAATTTCGTGCATTCCACTTCTTCCAACAATTATCTCTGGTGCGTGTTTAATTATATTACCTATAACATAT